TCATAATCAGATCTTAGATACTCACGTTCCAGATTCCTTGGCCATTCTGGCACCAGTATGTAGTCGAACAAACACTCGAACGTAAAAATCAACGCTGATAGATAACAGTGGTTCAATATATCGAGTATATTTGTTAGCCTGAGAATCTATTGCCCGTAAAAGAATCCTCAGTGCCTGAAAATCTTAAGCCTTTCTGGCAATAAAAACAAGGTAAAGGACCAAATGTCAAAGGTCCGGACAATAATGAAGTAGTTGCGAGTCATTACGGCGTTCCTGAAGTTGGAGGGGCACATTGTGAGACCAGACGGCGCTCAGTTCCGCCGTCTTCCGGCGTTCTTTAAGGCTGAGAAGTTATCACTGACTCGGTGGGAGAACACAGACAAGCACACGTACGATTACTCGCATCGCGGCATGGTTCCTCCCAACTGCGGGTAACTGCCAAGTGCGGTAACGCAACGCTTTCCCAACTATTTGACATGAGAGACGCAACACGCGGCGACGCAAGGTAGGGATTTTTCCAAAGAGACGGGACTACTGTACGGGTGGTGAATCACCTATCATGCTGAAAAGCTGGAGTCTGTGAGCTCACAAAGTCTTCAAATTGTCCGTAGCCCCCCCCCCACTCCCCCACAAGTGCAGCGGCACCGTCAATAGTGATAAAGGGAACCTACCATTTCGTGACAACACTTTAGGCGTACTGTAGTCGAACCGTACTTATTGTAGCAAGTCTCTGGTGTATTTCCACATAAAACTGCCATATCAGTACAAGTCACCATAAGTATACCTGCAGCGTAACTAATCAATATAATGGAGATCTTCATTTGACAATATGGTGCAATTTGTCTTGGTGGGGCAACGTTCGGCAAAAAAATGCTCTCTCCAAGTCGAACAGCGCCTCAGTTCGCACAAAGCGTTACAGGAGACAACTAAAGATATTCCCACCTCGATCTGCAACGCACTGTACAGCGGAGTCTAGAAATACAGAAGCGGAACCATAGGGATCGAGATCAACAGCGTGAAACCGTTTGTCAACGCTGCGATGACTCATCATCGTCACCCTGCAACCAAACTAGAAACAGCTGAAGGGCAGCGGTAGCACTATAAGTCCACTGAGACGCGCTTTCACACGGCTCAGTGTTCTGCAGAAATCCGTACATTAAATAGCCTGAACCTACACTGCATCGCCAAACGTAGCACGAACTTTATCCTCGACACCATTCAGACGAATGTTCTCTTTAATCGACTCGACGGCATTCTCTGAGAAATCGTTGGCCACTACAAAGTCGACCTTTTCTACCTAGAAAACCTACAGATCATTGGTACTTAAGAAAGCATTACTGACGGTTACGTGACGTTGGCTTGAAAAATGCGATAAGTAGTTAGACAGCCTTCTTCGCGACAACAGCGCTTCGGTCAGAGAGACTTCGCGATCGCGCATCTGCGAAGTCTGAACGCGACCGAAGCGCTGTTGTCGCGAAGCGCTCTCACACGTTCGACGCGATCGATGCAGTCGAAAGCACGCGCTGCATCGGACGCGCGAGCGAGGCGCTGCGTCGTTCTGAACGCTGCCTTAGAGTGGGTCATTTGGCGACAATATGCCGGGGCCGTGGCGACTTAGCGCATCTTTAAGCGTGATCCGGTGTTAAGGACGATATCCTATGTGCCTGAGAGGAAGTTGCCAAAATGCCAAGTAGGAATGGTCGCTCTAATACGAAGGGCAGGCCCTTCAACCACGTTAGAGTGAGTTCGTACCTCGCGTCAGTATTTTTGAGCGTACGAGCACTTCAGCATCCAGAATGTATAGGTATCGATCCAGCAAACGCCAGCTTATGCAGCCATCACTCAAAACGCCGGCGTGCCCTGGTGTACACTTAAAACGCTAACGCATTGTACGAACACACTTCACGCGCCACTAAAAATATGCATGCCCTCGTCTCGAGTGGCTAAGCTACACACTTCTTGAGTATGATCCAAAGTAACAAGGTGTGCCCTCGAAAGATAGATTAGAATTAGAATAAAAAAAAAACCGGCGCAGTGTTGGTCGACGGGGGGGGGCATTTTGCACTTTCGTTGCTTCACTAGTTCTGGTTTACAAGTCTCACTCTGGTGAAACCTGTGAACTCTTGTGAAGCTGGAGCAAGCTCGTCAAGCCATCATGGTAAAACCTGTCAACTCGAGAAGAGGCTGTCTAGATGGGTCGACACGTCGATGGGAAGTCGTTAAAGTGCAAAATGCCCCCCCCCCCCCCGTCGACAACCGCCGGAAAAACCTACCTCTTGTGAAAACCGTAGCGCTCTCAAACCACTGGCTGACAAAGCATCAAGGATTCGTATGGAGCCATCCTACAGAAAAAGGATAGCATTCTAGTCCTACTTCTACCAAAGAAGTCCCACAACCGTAATAATCACTAAACAAACCTCCTTTTCAAAGAGCAGTTTTGCTTTCTTGGCCTTTGGTTCATCAGTACATTTTTCAGCCTCTCCATTGGAGGTGCTTGCCATACGAGATCTAACAAACTCTCGCAAAACGGATACACTGTAAAACCCTGGTTGTTCAAGAAAGACAAATCTAACAGTTAATTAAGCAATGAATGAAAAATATCTCACGTTAAATCCCTATTGAATTCTTGAACGGGGTTGTAGAAGACTGGTCCATGAAATCCGACCTTTGCCTTTCCTTCTTGTACTACCACAAATTCTGTGTTGCATCACCAGAAGCCAGGTTCGCTTGCTGAGTCTCTCCCATCATGAGGGTGATACTCCGACGAACCTAAAAAAGAACGTCGAAGCAGATCAACTATGAGTTCTGCTAAAATAGCACTGAAAAGCTGCTAAACTGAAAGCATGCCTGTCTGAAGGAATGTTTTGCGTCAAATAATCCACGCGCTCTTGGTCGCATTCATAGTTCGCATCCGAGCGATTTGGAAAGCGCGCGATGCGGAAAAGTGCGCTCAACCGCGAATCACTGGACAGCTGCGAGGGTGTAAAGAAGTTATACTCCAGATGTTTTTCGAGTAGCAGTTGCAGCAGACAAAATGGCGGGATGCAGTCAACCGCAGACCTGTCATTCCCAAACTGCGCGAATAAATCACTCAAGTCGTAAAATGTGAAGAAGGGGGCTATAGTCTAACTCGCTGCGAAGGGGCGTGTCAGGCGGGTTGAGTATGGCGCGGTGCCAAACCTGTACTCCACCAATGTTGGAGCGAGCAAGTGAGATCATTGTACCATGTCGTTAGTATCACTGTTGTCGCATACCTGCTTCAACAGCTAGCAGAGAACAGATATGGCGCCGTGGCACACTCGTAACACCTCGTAACACGCCTAACATGCCCCTTCATCCAAGCGAACTAGAGTATATGCGCGGCGGAATGAAGTTCAGACGTGTTCCTCAATAGTTCCCCTTACAATCAATCTAAATATATATGAATCATGGACCCTACAGGATCTCGCGCCTTCTACAACGGGATTAATACGAGCAAAGCACAAACCTTCGGTTGCGACTTCGGAAGAGAGTGCTTTATTTGCACACGAGTAGACAACTGACATCACACCGCACTGAGGGTCTTTTATAGACCTAATATGAACTATCACTGTTAACACAACCAATGTAAACAACCGCTCCATTTATCACTTAGGGCAGTGAGCTCATTAGTATTGAGCGGTCTGCCACAACACCTCCCCCCTAAGATGCAATGGTGGGATTGTTTTTTTTATACAATAACAACATTCATCTTATTAATGGGTAAGTTTTTGTGTCTACATGTATGTCTTCTGATGTGGCTTGACTTGGAGTCGGCTCGGCGGTCGGCGGTTGCGTTGTGGGCGTTCTTTGAGCGGTGTGGTTTTCTTCCGTGATGAAGCTTCTGAATCTGAACATTTAATTGTTGCATCTGTGTTGCGCCTGAAGTCCTGGATTGAAGCGACGTGTTCGACGATCTGCCGGTTTCAGGCCGTGAAAGTCGTAGTTTCGCCAGCTGGATGTTCTGCTCTGGTGTGGGCGGCCTATGCTGGACCGTATTTGATTTGCATGACACAGTTCCTACGGCTTTCATTCACATGAGGAGTCGTATACTGTATTTCCGCCGGCAGTTGAGATCTTTCCTGGTATCCATTTCTTTCTGCCTCTTTGAAATGCTTTCACCCACACGGGCTCTTCTGGCTTGAATCGATTTTCAATTTGGGCCCATGTGTCTGTTGAACCTGATTCTCCATGGCTTCGTCGCGCGCTTTGTACGCTTCTAGTGTCGTGCAGAGATGAGAGGCGTTCGGAGACGATGTCCTAGAAGTTCTCTGCCGGTGATCGTTCTTCGGGTGAAGATGAGCATGGTGTGCTGCGGTAGGATAGCAAAAATTTCTGTACGGCCTCTGTTGTTGTTTCGGCATCCCTCAGCTTTCAGTCCGTTTTGAAAGTGTGACGAATGTTTTCGAGCTTGTCCATTCGATTGTGGATGGTACGGGGGACTGCGTATATGGACGATTCCATTCGTTTTGCAGAAGTTCTCGAATTCCAATGATGTGAATTGGCTTCCATTGTCCGAAACCAAGGTTTCGGGATATCCGTATCGGGCGCACACTCTGTTCAGTTGCCGTATTGTAGCCTTGCTTGTGGTTTGAAGACATTTCCAAAACTTCTGCCATTTGAGTAATGCGCTCCACAAATGAGGAACATCTGTCCGTTGATTGGTCCTGCGAAATCCACATGGATACGTGACCATGGTTTCTGTTCGTATGGCCACGAGAATAGCTGTGTCTTGACTGGTGCTTTGGCCGCTTCCTGGCAGGTACTGCAGGTTCGAACATAATCTTCTATGTCCTTTGTGATATTTGTCCAGTAGACGTATGAGCGGGCTAGGCTCTTCATTCTTGACATTCCAGGATGTCCTTCGTGTAGAAGTTTCAGAACACGGTCCTTGAACTTCGCTGGGATTACAATTCTTGGTCCAAAGAAAAGGCAGTCGTCTTGGAGCGAGAGAGACTGGCGGAGACTGAAGTAAGATCTGATCTCCGGCGTAAAAGTTTCTTCGCCATTGTCTTGCACGGACCGTACTGGATGGCACGCTCCTGCAGCGTATTGTCTGCGAGGCTTTCTTCTGCGATCTGATTCATGTCCTATGGGAATCTGTGCTTTCACAGCCTTGCATTCGAATTCAGCATCATTTGAGGCGTTTGCAATGATGATATCTTCGGTTTGCTCCTTCTGGTCGGCAATCAGTCGTGACAATGCATCGGCTTGTCCGAAATCTGTGGTTTTCCTGTAATTCAATCTTGAAGTCATAACCACGAAGTATTAATGACCAGCGCAGTAGTCGATTTGCTGTGTATGCTGGCAAGCCTTTCTTGCTTCCAAATATAGAGACAAGCGGTTTATGGTCTGTGAGGAGAGTGAACTGGCGTCCCAGTAGATATCGATGAAATTTGCGAACTGCATAGACCAATGCAAGTCCTTCCTTCTCGATCTGACCATATTTCTTCTCTGCTTCTGTGAGAGTTCTACTGGCGTGGCTGATTGCTTTCTCTGATCCATCTGCGCGGAAGCGTGCAGGCGGCTTCGAGGCGGTGCAGGATTACGGCTCCAATGCCATAGTCAGAAGCGTCTGCTGCAACAATGAGATCCAATTGTGGGTCATAATGTGTGAGCAGGAGTGGTGAGACCAAAATTTCTTTGGCCTTCTCAAAAGCGTTCTGGCAGCGGAACATTCGTTTGTCCATTTGAACTGAGCGTTCTTCTTCAGAAGGGCGTCGAGGGGAGCGCGAAGTTGGCATATTTCAGGAATGAATGTTCCGTAGTAGTTCAGCATTCCGAGAAACGAACGGAGTTGTGCGATATCCTCGCTCTCGGTGCATTTCAGTGAATAGCGAAATCTTTTCGGGATCTGGACGTCGCGCCCTTGCCCTCCGATATGTTCCAGATCACTTGATCTGTGAAACCAATTCAATGAAAATCGGCATTTCTTCTCGTACTCGGAATCCGTATAGCTCTATTCGTTGGAGAAGTGCTTCCAGGTTTTGGCGATGCTCCATAGTAGTGCGTCCGGTAACGATTATGTCGTCCAGATAAGCTGCGACGCCATGCAATCCTGCTATCATGGAATCGATAATCTGTTGGAATATGCCTGGAGCTGATTTCACTCCAAACGGTAGGCGATTATAGCGGAAAAGACCACGATGTGTGTTGATCGTGAGTAGTTCCTTTGACTCATCGTCCACTTCGATTTGTAGGTATGCATCTGCCAGATCGATCTGTGAGAAAAGCTGTCCACCGTTGAGCTTGGTAAAGACTTCCTCCGTTGTTGGTAACGGATGTTGATGAAGTGATAAGGCGTCATTTAAACCGGTGGAGAAATCCGCACATAATCGGATACTGCCATTGCTTTTCTTCACCACCACTATTGGTGCTGCCCAGTTTGAGTGGTCCACAGCTGTGAGTACACCTTCTTGGATAAGGCGATCGATTTCGGCATTGACAGCTGGTTGAGAGGCGAATGGTACAGGTCGCTTGTGACGGTACACTGGTTGAGCCTCTGGTTTTAGGAATAGCTTAGCCTTCGTTTTAATACAGCGTCCAAGGCCTGGGGCGAAGACATTAGGGAACTGTGTTCTCAGGTGAGTAACAAGTTCGTTGCGATGGTTATCGAGTGCTGCAGTCGCTTGTCGACAGTTGTACTGTTCTTTGAGCTGACGATAGTCTGGCATTTGGATACACCATTCGAGTCCCAGGAGATCGGTAGCTTCTGTGACGTAACAATTTCCTCTTCCAGAGATAGGTCTCTGATGTCGATCGAAAATTGAAAAGTCGGCTTCGAAGCATCCTAAGATCTTCATCGGTGAGCCATCGGCTGTCTTCACTGTTGAGATTCCTGGACGAAGAGGTGGGGATCCAATTTTGGTCCATGTTCTGCGAGATATCATTGTTATGTCTGCTCCAGTGTCGAGCTGTAGATGGGTGAGCTGGCCATTAATGCGGACTTTCATGTAGGTTCTTGCATCTTTGGTCATGACGTCTACGTTCTTGCATCGAATTTTGCGTTTGGAAGATCGAGCTCTTCTTTTCTTTGTCGACACGCTCCTCCGATTCTGTTTCTCCCATGCGCTTTTTCGTCTATGGAATAGGAGGCGCCTTCTGAACTGACGTGTTTTTTGGGTTCCAGTCGCTTTTGAATGGCCTTTACTTGGTGTAGCGCGTTTATCTCCTTTGTCTCCATCGTTCGGTTATCTGAACGCAAAGTGACGAAAGTTTCACATTCTGCGATGAAGTCGTCGAGAATTGGGAGGGGATCCGATTCCTTGAGGCGATTCATCTTGTTCAGGAGTCGTAGACGCATCTCTGAATGGGAAGTGTCGGTGAGACCAGCTACAAAGACAAGACATTTGAGTGATTCGCTGTCAACATCCTTCATACATGCTTCCTCGAACTTCTTCTTGATCGTGTTTCCGAAATCGCGGTAGGGTACATGTGATCCGCTTATTGGAGGACAGGATGTCTGCAGGAACTCGAATCGACGGCGAATACCAGAGTCTCTTTGGGTGAATAGTTGGTCAGCGTTCGGACAGTATGGGCAAGTCGATGATATCCCGTGGTTTCAACGGCAAAACGTGTTCGGAATACGTTTTGTAGGTTGCCTTGTCCAGTTTATCAATAATGAGGTTTCGCTTACGTTCTTCCGAAAGCGTGTTCCCTCGGTCGTCGATCACTGGTCCATATCGCTTGAACCACGCATTGAACGTTGAGTCTTCGTCCTCGTCATAGTTGAAGTACGGTAGGTCACGCATTAGATCACCATAAACATCTGAAGAAAGTGGTTTTTCAGAAGGTTGTATGGACCCTACCCTTTGCTCTACAAGCACTGCCAGTAGCTGGTGGAACTGTTGGTTCTGTTGCTGGAACTGTTGGTTCTGCTGTTGGAACTGTTGGTTCTGCTGCTGGAGCTGTTGTTGGAGCTGCTGGTTCTGCTGCTGGAGTTGCTGTTGGAGCTGCTGGTTCTGTTGCTGGCTGTTGCTGGGACTGTTGGTCTGCTGCTACGGCTTGCTGCTGTTGTGATGCGCGACGAGGAACTGAGCCACCCATTGGGGTGCTTCTCTTGAGGAGGCTGGAACGCTGCTTGGCATGTTGAAGTCTTCAAGTTGACCGGCTGCTTGTTGAACTTCTTCCGCAGGGGTTCTTCTGAGTCCTGATCGCCAGTGTGTGTTTGTGTTGAGAGACTTCGGAAGAGAGTGCTTTATTTGCACACGAGTAGACAACTGACATCACACCGCACTGAGGGTCTTTTATAGACCTAATATGAACTATCACTGTTAACACAACCAATGTAAACAACCGCTCCATTTATCACTTAGGGCAGTGAGCTCATTAGTATGACGGTCTGGCCACAACCTTCGGTCCTCAGCTGGGCATAGCCTCAAGCTTACCCATCAAAAAAATTAAAAAGGTCAGAGATAAGTCGTAAACTGCCTACCAAGCTTAATAATGGACGAGGACGTATAGAGAACAGGCTTGACGAAGTTTTGAATTATGCGACGACAGTTTGCTGTGTTGGGTGGGCTACACACAATGCCCACTATAGGCGTTCCATATTTACGGTTTTAAAAGTCGGAGAATTAAATCGCTTGGGATCCAACAATTGCAGAAGGTGAGCATTTTGCTTACATTGTGGTGTTTGTGACATTGAGGGTCAAAATTTTACTACTCATTTGTGACGCGACCGCATACTTTCAGATTCTTCTGCTGATGCCCGGTAGACATGAAAAAGTTATGCCTGAAACGAGTGGTGATGATAACGAGAGCGGCAGCACAAGCGGTTCTGAGGTAAGAGGTCCCTTTTATCTCCTTCCGTTTTAGTGCAATAAATCCATATCATGCTTCAAATTTCTCGGAATAGCTCTATTCCTCTCTGCTTTCTCTTTTTTTTCCATGAATTGACCTAACTGTTGTTAAACGGGAGCTTTATGGCTCTTTCCTAGTCAGCTGGGACATTCTGCTGTTATAGTTCGTGAGGAGGCGCTATTTCAATGAGGGAATCCGAATAGCGCTTGGACAGTGTTCATACTTTGCGAATCGGAGAACGCGCGATTGACGAAGCCAATCGATTCCCATCGAATCGCTTGTCGCACAGTTTCCTATCCTCAGAAGTCGCAGGTGCACCAAGTCGATTAATGTTTTTCGTAGTCGCGCATGTTCGCGTTTCGCACATTCTTATAAACTGCGGCTTGTTGACATTCACAAAGCATGAACGTATCTTTCGAGAGGTCTCTAAACCAGAATCTTACGAACTTCGTTCTAACGCTGTAATTAGAGCTCGTGATCAGAATTCATCTCGTGGTTTGGAATACCTTGGTCATTGCGCTCGTCCACCATATTGAAATAGGGCCACCTTGATAAGGTACATGGGGCTAGGAAAAACTGAAGAGCGTAGAGCTGAAGAGGTATGCAAACTTGCTGACGTTGAAAGAGAAGAGATGCCGCTGTTTTTTATGTAGTCTTTTTCCACATTGCCTTTTCCAGGTCTCTATAGAAGATGAGGGAGAAGAAAATAATCGCTCAACAGCAGGCAGCGACGAGTCAGACGAGGAGTCAGAATCGAGCGGTAAGTCTTTCTCCACTGCTGCACTCGAGCGGGCTGAGCGGCATGACGAAGTCCGCTCCTCTGCGCTCCGAGGCACAGAACCGGGGCTGTCAAGGATGACCCTTGAGAAGGTGGGGGGGGGGGGGTGCAGACCTGGCTCTGTGCCTCCAAATCTGAAGAGACCGGACCAAATTACAATTTCATCTGTTTTATAGATGAAGAGGAAAGCTCTGAAAGTGACTCTTCTGAGAGTGATGGTGAGAGCAGCAGCGACGATAGCGACTCTACAGATTCCTTATGGGGAGCTTTCGATGACGGTGACAAGAAGGAAACACAGGAAGCGAATGTAGGCTTTTTCACTATTCTTTTCGTCTCTCAGTAACTTCGTAGTAGTAGTTATTACAACTGTTCGGCTTGGGGCGGGGAAGGGGAGGGGGCATTTTGCTTTTTGCGCTAGTTCATTTTGTTGATTCATGCTAATTAACAGGTCTCATTTTGGGGAGATTGTGAACTCTTGTGAAGCTGCGAAGTGGTATAAGTGAGCCACTTCAGGTACAGGAATTCACAGGTTTTCACGAGGTGGCCTGCGTCAGCTTGCTGAGTACCATTTGATGCCCCCCCCCACCACTAGGCCGAACTGCGCCTGGTTCACTCGCAATCGCACGTGTAGCATGGGCCCCTTTCCTCTCTTACCTGTTATGAGCTAGCAGATTACGTGTCATCTAATACATAATGAGATATGCGACACGAATCAGTACTGTATCTCTGCCAATGGCGTCTCAGATATGTCACTAGTGTTTCAGTGACGTCAGTGACACGTCATCTGTCTTTTAATAGGTAAGGGACCTGTGCTACTTCAGCACCCATCCCGCACGTGTAATTTCGCTTTATTCAAGGAAGCTTCCGCTCTGTCCGACTTTCAAAGAGCACTGGATTGTCTGGTGAAAGGGAAGAACACCGTAGCGAAGAAGATCCTTAGACGACTTCTTACTAATCCATTAGTGAAGTGTTTTAACACTACAGTATTTGATTGGGAAGCAGAAGTAGATGAAAGGTTGACTTCATTTTTCTTGCTACCGTTGCTAGCGAAACTATTTTTCCTTGTTATAGACTATCCAAAATGGCTCGACTTTTCGTCGGTGTTCACAAGAACCTTGCGAAGTTAGAAACCGAAAAGTCGCAGCATTTCCTCCAGGTATATTTGTTTCGCAGTCGCCAAGTTGGTGGTAGCCCACAGGTATGGGTTCTTAGTTCCAAAACCCAAAACTCCCTTCTAGATTTTGTCAATGGCCCCGAAAAATGCAGAAATTTGGATGAACCTCGGCTTAGAAAGCATTAATAGTGGTGACGTTGACTTCGCGAAGTTTGCATTCGAGCATGCTGAAGGACCAGAAGCCATGGAAGCTCTGTTGAGCGTGCTATATTTATCGCGGAATTATCACGGTGAACTACTATTGAAGCGTTTGATGTGCTTTGTTCCTTATTGAACAGTTTTCGTTCAGCTTGCTTGCGTATGGCACAAAAATGTTTGAGCATGGGTATCGCAAGGGAGAAAGCGTTATACCTGAAGGAGCGGATCCGCTCCTTGAATGGCCATTACAGGTTAAGTTTTGAATTGTATTTTTAATAAAGGCTAGGCTTGCTAGCGTTGGCGGGGTCGGGAGAGGGCCCATGAAGTGTCGTGAATACGTCTGCTCGTCTAGAAAGTCCCCAGGGCATTGGGGAGGAATGAGGAGATTTTTGCTTCATGCAACCCCACCCCCCAATCTTTCATAACCGACCAACCTTCCGCTCCGCTTAACCAAAAACCCGAAGTCGAGTGGACAAGGGGTGCCTAGTGCGCGAGAAACGGGTAAGATCAACAACCAGAACAAAACTCCCTAGACCAAATATGAGCCCCCTTCGGGATACTAAACGTACAACGTGCCCTGCCTCGCCAGGTCTCAATTTATGACCCACCTCCTCCAGCTGTTTTTTTTTTCTAAATTTTCGACGCACAGTACTCAACCTGGGGTGGCGTACTTGGGAGGGGCGATGGGGCAGCACGCCTACATCTGCGAAGCGAGGTGAGTCTGCTATGAGCTTGTGGATGAGAAGTGACATAGTCGCGTCGCCGCGTGGTCCCTGCGAACTGACTTAGCCCCCTCATCTCTCAATATTCTTGAATTTAGCGAATTCTGTGACAAAGTTTTTGGTGAGAACAGACGATACGATCTGGTTGAGACGTTGGATGACGCTACCGCGGCAAAGGTATTTTGTTAAAAACCTTCTTGTTTTTTGGCGCAATTCCGTGTGCACTACAGATAGCACAGCGGTTGAGTGCTATCGAAGAACGCCTTCGTGAGATTCCATATGAGGAAGAAGTTCCACTTCCAAGTCCTATCGATATTGAGTTCGATGCTGAGCAGACGTGAGTTTTTTATGGCGCTATTCCACTGGATTAGGGCATTCTGGTGTAGTCTCAGGACATCAAAAACCGCGACAGTGGGTGTGGAGGTGAAGGGAGAAGCTGGCATTTTCCTTCAATTCAGATGAAGTAGCACAAAGCGCATGAACCCTTTTCCTTCCTATGTTGAACGGTTTTCCGAAAGGTTGCACCGGAATGCCTCATTCTACCAGGATGAGATTTTAAAGATCAATTCTAGTTCCTAAAGAGTATATGTTTTGCAGGGTAGATATTGTAGCCACGTGTTTCTGTGACTTGTATGATCGCGTTGAGGCTTATTCTAGTGTAAGTTTCCAAGATTTGACATTGTTTTTTTGCGCTGCCTAGTTGGGGGGGGGCGGGGCACGCAGAGCAGCGACGAAGTCGTTTCCTCTGTGCCTTGAAGCCAGGCTGCGCATTGTCATTTGCGTGCCCTTGAGGCGTCCTCGGGGAAGGATCTCTTTGTTGTTCTCCGGCGTTGCTCCCTCATGGCTCTGAGAACACCCGTCTTTTTTTAGCATTCCAGACCGAATGAAATGGTCTTTTAAGCTTTCCCTACAAAAAATCACTTTCTCTCGTTGGGATGACAGGAGAGATTTGCTGGACGCGATGTCGGCACTACAAGACATTGTGGAAGTCATTGATACCGTCAGTTGTGTAATAGATCAGGTAATTCTACAGGGTCTACTTCGCTCTAGGATAGGGCTGTAATTCCATGTTGTAGGCGTCATCCAGGAGCGCAAAATCGCGATGTGCTGTAACGTCATCGTCTCTTTCTGCAGCAACATGTGACAGTTTCCTGCGAAGATCGATGCGATATGCTATGGAGTTACCATTCGATGAAGAAAACAGCCATCAAGAGATGGATACGTCAGCGACGTGCCGTCTCGACGGGTCCCTGCCCCCTCTGGAGGTGGGTCCCTTGAATCTGATCGTGATGTTTTCTTCAAATCTAGAGATTTTAGTTGGCCAGCACATTGGGCATCCGTGTTCAGTCAATTGTACCCTTGAAAGACGAGCTTTTACGAAGACCGTCTCGGACTCCAAGTCCAGAACTCTGTCGAGAATACTTCGATAGTGATCTGCTTTTGTACCTGCTGATGACAACTCTTAAAGGCGAAAGCTGGACTATTTTTGAATTACTAGGTATGTTCCAACCTTTGATTAGCTCTTAATACAGTTTACGCCATTTTATGGATCGTTCAGAGGTATTTCTCTGTTTGGTCGCCGATCTTTCTCCTGCCTTTGGAGCGGTTCCACCTGAACTACGTGAAGTTATTATTCAGTGCTATCGCAGATTCAATAGGCTTTCGAGTAATCTTTGTGAGGAGAAATACCTTCGACTGCATGTGCTGATGGATGAGCTTGGTTTGTAATTCTGCATGTGCAGTTGTATTTGCTCACAAGGGAAGGATACCAACTCGTCCTGGCCATTCAGAATGAGATGTATATTCCTAGGAGCGTCTCCGGATACTGATATCAGATCTGACTTCCAAATCTGCTAAACGATTCTGGGTGCAGAGTTACGGACCTTTTTTGCTACCGTGCTTAACCATTGCGGTGCGACCCCCTGCCCATGCTTTGCGCTCGTAAACCCCTCGTGACCCAGCCGCCGCCGTGGCTCGATGGCGCAGCAGGTAAGTGGATGGCTTCATAGTAGTGAGACGGAGGTTCAAATCCTTGATGCATTTCGTAGTTTTGCTTTTTCTTGAAACGCATGCTAAACACTTGGGAAGTAGTTTTGCGTACCTGTCCGACCACCAAGACCCCCTCCCTGCTACTTATTGAGCCCCGCGAACGATTTTCGTGGAAACTTACACTTTTGCCTAACTAGCTCAAGCAAGGGACCAAATACACATGCATATCTGCTTGGAGCTCGTGAACTGCGAGATTTCATCATCCTATAGGATGACAACGTGTGTGGCCAACGAAAGAATTCGTCATCTCTGGTAGCTCTCTTCACTCACGCCCACAATATCAGCCAACATCTTTGCTACCTGTCCACCATAGTTGGAAATGTTCTGCCGGACTCTGGTGCTATCACACCTAGTGAAAGAATTCGGGTCTTGCGATATTGTTTGATCACTATCCCGCAAAGAAAAGAAGATTGCAGAGAGTTTCTATCCTATTGTGCGCGACGCACTGTACTACAACCGTATAATCGACTGCGAGGGAGATAGCTTCGTGGAGGACGAACATACGGATCCTTTCTGGGCATCTGAAGATAACGATGAATCCCTTCAGAGCATCTAGATTTGAACAATTTCTTTCTTAATCCTGGTATTCAGCAGGTTACCTTGACACTCATCCAGACGAGTTCGAGAGTTCTCTCCAATATTGCATTACATATCATCTGGAGGGAATCTGTGAGAATAATGGTTGCAGCGAAATTCTTTTTATTCGCAGCTCACACTGAAGAACTTTTTTGCTCTAACCATTTTGTATGGGATATCACACTGTGCTCGCTCAAAGGCACAACCTGCGATAAATCGCAATCACAGATAGTGCATAGGGATTCGGCATAAGACTAGAACGACCAAGTATGCTGTGTAAACTTCGGTAATGAAAAAAGAGCAGAAAAATAACATCGGTCAGCCGCTCTTACAATTAGATAGAACCCCATTTCAAGCCACTTTGTACGTGCCCAGTGAGCTCCATCTCCTACACTACGCCCTCCACACAGCTTATTCACTATAAGAACTCTACGACCTTACAAGTGAGCTTACGATTTTCATGCTTTTTCGTCCTGCAGCTCGTTTTTCATTGGATGATGGGCTTTGAAGGCGGAGTCTGGAGACCGAGCCACTGGTAAAGGAGTGTCCTCTTTGGAGCTATATTGCGTTATAGCACCCCTCCCTAACAATTTTTTCGCCGTAAACCAGTACAAGGTTGTTCCTTGCGGACCACTACCCTCGCGACACACCATATTTCCCACTTTATTCCTGATCTGGACCAAGCCTTTGATGTTTCCCATTAAATCGAAAATATATACCTCGAATGAAGCTGTCACGCCAACACCATCAAAATGAATGCTTTCACTGAAGTTAAAATAAAACCCCTGAAAAGTCGCACATAGGCCCTAATAAGAAGCAGGGAGGGGTCTTGGTGGTCGGACAGGTACGCAAAACTACTTCCCAAGTGTTTAGCATGCGTTTCAAGAAAAAGCAAAACTACGAAATGCATCAAGGATTTGAACCTCCGTCTCACTACTATGAAGCCATCCACTTACCTGCTGCGCCATCGAGCCACGGCGGCAGCTGGGTCACGAGGGGTTTACGAGCGCAAAGCATGGGCAGGGGTCGCACCGCAATGGTTAAGCACGGTAGCAAAAAAGGTCCGTAACTCTCCACCCAGAATCGTTTAGCAGATTTGGAAGTCAGATCTGATATCAGTATCCGGAGACGCTCCTAGGAATATACATCTCATTCTGAATGGCCAGGACGAGTTGGTATCCTTCCCTTGTCAGTTAAGCTTGAGGGGGGGGGGGGCGTCTATTCCCATTGTCGTGTCGAGCCATTGGGGAAATATTTGTAGAAGCTTTATAAAGCCATAAACTGACTTCAGTCAAAATCTGAATCTATAACATTTGTTGAATCTTGTAGCAATGTGTGTAACCTCTTTTGAAGCGATGAACACGACAATAGAAAGTGGTGAAAGTGCAGAATACCCCACCCTTCTCCCCCATACCAAACTCCGCCCTTTTTCTTATAAACTGCCTTATTATTTTATGACAAGCTCCTTTCCACATTTACTTGGTCTACTGTACTGTGCTTGTTTGTACTTCATGACCCGCATCACATACTTCCTTCTGGCACTGTCTTTTACATTTTGCTTGAGCACTTTTTGCGCCTTTCTGCCTTTTCTTCACGTCTTTACAAGTTGCACACCCCTCCGCTTTGTCTCTTTAGAAGCATCGTCGTTGCTTACTTACTACAAGAATTGGTGGCGACGAGCTTTCGCTGCGCCAAACCCAGCCCACTGACACGCCCCAGCGTCTGCAGCGAAAACGACTGTACCTCCTTGATAATCGTCTTAGGTCTCGAGAATCTTGATCCTTTCTGCGATAAGTCTCTCGCAAAATATGGAACTAACGCCGCCGACTGGGTATCATTCATCCGTCAACCGCAAACCTTGGTGGCTTTCTAGGGCGTCTCCGTTTGCTGCAGTAAGAAGGCTAACTAGAATAGAGGAAACGATCAGTTTAGGGTGGCCTGGCCGAACGTGACGCTTTTTTTCTTGATAACGCTTCGTCAATAGGGAACTTCCGTTGCATTACACTCCTTGATGGTGTTCTTCTTTCAACCAAGAATTAACCTCAGTCGAAGCTTTTGGACGCTTCTGGAATAGAACCCTTCTATGGCTCTCTAGTTCTGTCCTTGTAATATATCCGATCGGTGTTCCACTTGAAAGTCCTTTATTGTAGGTTGATATTCAGTTCAAAGAGTTGTTTTCACTGAAAGAGTGTTCCCAGATTGTAGTACTGCTATTGCTTGCTCAACTGTCAGTTTGTTAATTTTCTGAACAAATTGATGCCTTTTTCAATATACCGGCTGCAGGAGAACCACAAGCTCGAGACTACTGTATTCGGTGGCATTACAATGAAAAATGGACTGATCGGGAGCTGTTGCAGCGCTTCATTCTTAGCCATAGTAAAGCGATTACTGATGAAACGATAAAGTGAGTGGCGTGCTTTCGTTTATGCATTTGGCCCTGCTCCAGTCTATGTTTACAGGCTTTCCTTTCTGAGGTTTCTCTACAAATTTCTTGAAGATGATGAATTTATTTTCACTGCGAAAGGTAGGTAGTGAGAAGGCTTAGGGCGAAGGCTTCAGTTTGATCATTTTTTCATTTTTAAGGTTGGG